AAAAAAAAAAAAAAGATTGCCAGAATGAACACTTAAAATGCACACTTAGAATGAACTTTGTTTTATACACCTGAATAAAACTAAAATTTTTAAAAAATAAAAATATTATTACTTGGAAGGCTGAGGCGGAAGGATCGCCGGAGCCCAGCAGGTTGAGCCTGCGGTGGCTGGGAGCGGCCACTGCACTCCATTCTGGGTGACCGAGTGAGACTCCAACTCAAAAAAAAAAATTAGCCATGCATGGTGGTATGGGTCTGTAGTCCTAGCTACTTAGAAGACTGAGGCCAGGAGAGTCACTTGAGTCCAAGAGGTTGAGGCTTGCACTGAGCCATGATAATGCCAATGCACTCCAGCCTGGATGACAGAGCACGACCCTGTTTTCTTTTCTTTTTTTTTTTAAAGGGACATGATTTTTTAATAAACATTTTTATGCCATTAATAAGGTTGAACTTTTAATATTCAGGCAGGTGCTGTAAAGGATTATATTAAGATGATGCTTCAGAACGAATCACTTAAATTTCTGGTTTTTGCCCACCATTTAAGCATGCTCCAAGCTTGCACAGAAGCAGTCATCGAAAACAAGGTATGTTGTCATTTTTCTATAAAATACTTTGTAGAATACAGATTTTTACTATACTAATTATCAATTGTAGTCTCATAATTGAGGGGGGTTTTATTGCTTTCTTTAGATGATGGTATAAAAATTATTTTATACTTTTCTTGAAAAACATACCAATATTACTATAATGATGATGATGTATTATTAAATTGTCTCTTTTTTTTTTTACCAGTCTTATAATTTTCTGCTGATCAAGTTATCTGGATTGATTAAAGATATGCTGCCATGATAGGCTATAATGTGAATTTCAGTTCCTGGCTATACCATTTGGGAGTGGTATAGATAGTTAAAAATTAAAATTTTTATTTACCTTCATGGCAGCCCTTGAATGTGGATAACATAGAGGAGAATGAAAAAAATGAATGCAGCCACTTTTAATGCCAAACTGTAATCGTACCTTTTTAAACTTCCAGGTTGGGTACAATGTCTCATACCTGTAATCCCAGCACTTTAGGAAGCCCAGGCTGGAGGAATGCTTGAGGATAGGAGTTCAAGACCAGCCTGGGCAACATAGCAAAACCCCATCTCTACAAAAAGAAAAAATTAGCAGAGCATGATTGTAGTCCTAGTTACTCAGGCCACTGAGTTGAGAGAATCACTGGAGCTCAGGAGTTCAAGGCTGCAGGGAGCTGTGATTTTGCCACTGCACTCCAGCCTGGGCTGCGGAGCCAGATCTTACCTCTAAAAAAACAAAAACTTCCAGGCAATATAATCTATGGCAAATGATTGTTAAGATTTAGTATAGATGGATTTTAAACACATGGCCCATATAAGTATGAGGTTAGCTCCACCAAATTAGTTGGCCTCGCTGCATTTTCTTAAGTCCACCTTGATTTCCAATAGGCCTGTCAGTGACAGCATCTACTATTTTTTTCTGTCAAAGTCTAAAACTCAGTATACATTGTTTAAGCATTAGTTAGCATGTTCATTAAGATTACCAAAGAAATAATTCTACTGTTTCCTTCTTAGAAAGGTTTATGATAACATAATACAATAAAGTGCTATACATTAAAAGAGGCTTTCTTATTGGTTATCATATAGTATTTGAAAAATGCCCTCTAAGAGTTACTTAATCTTTTAAATTTAAATGATTAAGCAATAAAATTAGATTCATAATATTTTCTTATTCTCATTCCATTATACCTTAAAACTACTAGAATCTATTCTATAGTATAAGCAGTCTGTTGCTTTTTCCCCACATCTGTTTTTCTGGTGTGTTTAGAATCCCATTTAGCTTTATTAGACATGTAGGTATTTTCTCCCCAAATCTCCCTACTCTGACAATGTATTTTCTTTCTTTTATAAGACACTCAGAGTATTTTGTAATCTTTCTTAATGAACATTAAGTGGATCACTGGTCAATATACCTTTGCTTTGTAATGACAAAAAGGTAGTAAGAGACATTCTGAATAATGATTAGTTTGAATATTCTCTCATAAAAGTGAATATGTATATGTCCCAACTATTTAAAACTATTTTACTTTCTGTAAAAGTACATATATGAATGAGACTATTTGAAATTTAGGTCTTATATTTGTTTTTAGAAGTTTAATAAGGAGTTATTTCTAGCTATTCTAATATACACTGATTTCTCCCTTTTCTCAACTCAAATCATTCTTAAAGACAACACTGTTCGGTTTAACATTTAATGTTTCCCTATTTTTTTTTTTTTTTTTTTTTTGAGTTGGGGTCTCACTCTGTCACCTAGGCTGAAGTGCAATGGCACACTCAGAGCCAGTCCAGTGTCGACCAGCTGGGCTCCAGCAATCCTTCCTCCTCAGCCTTCCAAGTTCCTGGAACTACAGGCGCACACTACAACGCCCAGCTAATTTTTGATTTATTGTAGACACAAGGTCTCGCCAAGTTGCCCGGCTGGTCTTGAAACCATGCGCTCAAACAGTCCACTTGTCTTGGCCTCCTAAAATGGTGGGATTACAGGCTGAGCCACCGAGCCCAGCCTGTTTCCCTGCTTTTTAAAGATGTGTATGGGTAACTCAGTTCCCCACCTCAATGGAAATGATATCGCATTTTTCTTTTAAGTTTAATAATGTGGAAAAAGACAACTCCCAGGGTAGATTAAAAAGTGGTATTTTGGGGCATCCCCCTCAGGTCTCCTCCCACTGTGGGAGCTTGTCTGTCCTCTCAGTAAATTCTGCTTTATCAAAAAAAAAAGTTATATTTTATCAACCCAATATTTGGGATCTTTTGGAAATAAATATACTGCTTTTCATGCATCTTTAGTATATGGGCAGAATCATCTTTCTCCTTTCTCACATGTCTGGCTTTAGTTTTACTTTGAAATTAGTGATCCTATAACCTTAAAGTTAGTCTGATCTATTGTTTAAAGTTTGCATATTAATTTACATAGAATTTTACTGAAGACAACATTAGCTGAATTCAAAAAAGATTTATGGAGCTCCTGATATATACAAGGCATTGCCCTTGGCATGATGGGATAAAGATGAATTAGACATAGACTCTACCCTCAAGGAGCTTAAAAGATTTAAAAATAAGAAATTGTTATAATATAAGAAGCTATTAGAAACTTGTCTAAGATTCTTCGTGTATAGCATTTACCAATGTCATCTTAACCAATTTCCATTTTTTATGTCACCATAAAAATAAGCTATAAAATAAATGAAATGAGATGATTACATACGGGCTTATCCCAATTTTGCCATTTCCTTTGTTGATGCTAGACTCGTTACATTAGGATAGATGGAAGTGTTCCATCTTCAGAAAGAATACATCTGGTTAATCAGTTTCAAAAGGATCCTGATACTCGTGTGGCTATTCTAAGCATTCAGGCTGCTGGCCAGGTAAGAAATTTCTGCTCTAAATTTGATAATAAAATGTCTTTGAAGTAATATTAAAATCATTAACCATAATTTTATAAACTTGTAACTGTATCTAGATGTCTAGTGTAATAACTATTCACCCCCAACATCTTTGACTCAAATCTTCCTAAATTTTCAAGGAAAGAATTCCCAGGAATATAATTTGATTGCATTATTTTCACATGATTTTTTTCCCTTTGAATTTGCATAGACTTTTCTCATACCTTTTTTTATAGCCCTTATTTTGCTTGTTTGTGTTGCATCAGGATCTGTGTGTGAGCCAAGGTGACTTGAGGGAAAGAACTCTTTTTGTCTCAGGACCTTTTAATGGAGTGTCCCCAGTTTGTCCCTTAGGATTAAGCTTGGCTGTAAGTAAATGAAAATTCAGATTAAGGGTGACTTAAGTACACAAAGTTTCGTTCTCTCATGTATACAGTCCAACCTAGCACAGTGGTTCCCCAAAGTCCTGAGGACCCACGCCCCTTCTGGCTTTCTACTTTACCATTCCTATTAAGTATCTCTGACATAAGAGGGCTGCTAGAGCTTCCCCATCGTATCTATAGTCCAGGCAGCTACCTAGAGAAATGCACACTTCATCTCATTGGTCTGCAGTGCCATGGCCTCACTTAACTTTGAGGGAAGTTGAGAAGAGTAGTCTTTATTTCAGGTAGCACACTAAAAATCAAGGGTCATGTTACAAAGGAATAAGAGAAGAATAGATATTAGGGAAAACAATGGCAATCTCTGCCACACTATGTAAGAAACGATCTTTCTGGACTTTCTTCCTGCTAACATCCTAAAATATTTGGATACAGATGTCTAAGCCAGGATATTTAATATAGAGAAAATTAATTAATTAATTGAAAATTAATAAAAATTAATACTGCTATGTGACCAACTTAATATATACCAAAGACCTCCTTTTACCCAGCTAACTGATGTATATAAAATTGTATATAGAGAGAAACTCCATGAAGATGAAAAAGTTGTAGAACTCACTAGGAGTTCTACCCAAAAGGGGGGTTGTTTTAATACTTCCCTCAAGTTGAATTGAGCTTCCAATAATCTGAGTTTCATATCTGTTAAGATAAACATTTCAGCCATAGAGAATGTCATCAAAAAAAAAAAGTAGATAGACCTGTTATCCCAGCACTTTTGGAGGCTGAGGCAGGAGGATCGCTTGAGGCCAGGAGTTCAAGACCAGCTGAACAATACAGTGAGACCTCGTCTCTACAAAAAATTAGCTGGGCATGGTGGTACGCACCTGTAGTTCCAGCTACTGGGGAGACTGAGGCAGAAGAATCGCCTGAGCCTAGGAAGTCGAGGCTGAGGTGAACCATGATCGTGCCTGCACTCCAGCTTGGGTAACAGAGTGAGACTCTGACTCCAAAAAAAAAAAAAAATTTACTTAAAATTAGAAATGGAGCACTCAAAGCAGGGGAAGGTGATAAGTAGCAGAAATCTAGATAGGAGAGTCTAGGATTTTTTGAAATTTAAAAGAATGTAATTTAAAAATAAAAACTTTTGAAATTAAGAATATACAACACACAATTTATTCAAGAATGTTCCTGAAGACTTTATATAATTCAAGACTCATACTTGTCTACTAACTTGACTACTCTCTTCATAGTAATAAAGAAAAGTAGAAAGTTCTTTGTTCTTGGTGCTGTGAATCTTACATTATAGTTTAGCAGCTTCTTAGTGTAAGTGTTGATCTTGCCAGCTTATTTTCCCTTTATGCTTATATATTCAAATGATGCTTTTTACAAACTTAAAGATGTCTCTCTTTAAACACTGCTTGTTTTTTATAGTTTTATTTCTAATATTTTGTGGCATTTTTGTTCCTAAATAACAGCATAGTTTAGCATCATGGTTGTTTGATTCTGTTCATGTTTTTATTACCTCTAACTTCTTTTCCAGAATGATTGATTTTCAGTGAATTTTTCAGCTTGAGAACTAGTGCCACCATTTAATTAATGCTAATATGACTGTGTTATATGACATAAAAATATTTTAAGTTAAAATAACTTATTAAAATAATAGCATAGCAGTCACCAAGGTCACTCACTTATGGAAAGTTCCAGGGCATATGAATAACAGCATGGATTAGATGATACTCACAAAAGATGGTAAATATTTCTGTCAGCCATCTATGTCATTTACTACTATATGACAATAGCATAAGCATAGTTCACATTTCATTCAGCCTCCCAATTTTAAAGTCAGGCATTCTTGTCAGATTTTTACTTTTAGGATACTTACATTATTCACATATTGATTATTAAACAAGACTTAGTTAATATATTTTATGTCACACTACTTAAAATTCATGAAAGTAGCTGGGTATGGTGCATACATCTGTAATCCTAGCACTTTGGGAGGCCAAGGCACATGGATTGCTTGAGCCCAGGAGTTCAAGACCACTCTGAGCAGGATAGCAAGACCTTGTCTCTACAGAAATTAAAAAATTAGCTGGACGTGGTGGCATGCGCCTGTAGTCCCAGCTACTTTGGAAGCCGAGGCAGGAGGATCACCTGGGCCCAGGAGGTTGTGACTGCAGCAAGCTGTGATCATGCCACTCCACTGCAGCCTGGGTGACAGAGCAAGACCCCAACTCCAAAAAATCAAAATAAAAAAATTCATGAACATGCAATTGCACACACACACAAAATGCAATTGCATTATATATGTTGAGACGTAAGACAGTAAACTTTCAGGATGTAACATGAGAAATTTCACAGAAAGAAAACAGTATGTCCAGAAACATGATTTTCTTGCTGTGTAGCATGACAATATGAATTCAGTGAAGAGGATGTCAATGCTCTCTGCCTAGTTGCTATGGATACCATGTGTTAGAAATTATATTCTCATTTATAATGTATTTTATTAGATTTTCCAGTGGTACTGTGAATCCAGTCTTCATCAAAGGATAAAGTGATTTAGATTATATGATTCCATCAAGTTGACTTTTAAGATATTAAAATACTTTAAAAAAATTTTTTTAGCTCATCTGGCTGTGTTGCATTAAACAGTCTTCATTTGCCTTTCATGAATTAAATCTTCTTAATTTGACCTAAAGTGAATGACTAATTCATTTTTAAAGTCCTTCAGTATTCTTTTCTCCATTTAACATGTTCAGAAAGTCTTTATTATACGTGGCTCTGTGTTAAATTCTCAATTTATTTGTATCTCAGTTTCTTTGCTTTATTTCACTTAGGGATTAACATTTACTGCAGCAAGTCATGTTGTATTTGCTGAATTGTATTGGGACCCTGGACATATAAAACAAGCAGAAGACCGTGCTCACCGAATTGGACAGTGCAGTTCTGTGAATATTCACTACCTTATTGCAAATGGGACTCTAGATACCCTCATGTGGGGAATATTGAATCGAAAGGTAAAACTTGGATTTAAACCAAATTAGCAACTTATGATCCATAGCCTATGTGAGTTAAGATGCTAAGTTTTAGTGTTTACAGTCAAAGGATACTTAAGTACACCACGACAATGGTGATAATAGTGACTGAGTTCAGAAAAGGCTACAGTTAGTGGTGCCCTACTCACTATGCTCTGTAATAAAGAAAGGCATGAATTTCCATGTATTCCTTTTATCATCCAAGCCCTTCTACTGCTGTAGAGGCTAGACAAATAGGGTCAGCTATCAAGGAAACATAATGTTTCAAGCCCCTTTGTGTAACCTAAAATAAACTCTTTCCAGAAAGATTCCTGAGTTCTCAACTAATTCCAGACAGAGGACAGACTACCTAGATTCTAGAAAGTGTAGGAATGATATTGCTTGCTTTGTCCTCTTAGTTGTCTCTTCTCCCCAACCTTGAGGGATGTTTACAGAAGGACTTGACTAAAGATTAGATGATTTCTGTTTTAGTCAGTTTGGGTTGCTATGACAAAGTATCAGACTGGGTGGCTTATAAACAATAGAAATTTATTTCTCACACTCGAGGCTGGAAGACCAAGATTAGGGTGCCAGCATAGTGGCATTCTGATTAGGCCCTCTTTCAAGTTGCAGACTGCTGACTTCTCATTGTATCTTCATGATGGAAAGAGAGCATGAGATCCTCTTTGGGGGACCCCTTTTGCAAGGGTCTAAGTCCATTTATGAGGGCTCCATCTTAATGACCTAATCACCTCCCAAAGGACTCACTTGCTAATACCATCACACTGGGAGTTAGGATTTTAAACTATGAATTTTTAGAGGGACACGGACATTCAGACCATTGCACTGTTTTTCAGTGCAGTGTTTTTCAAGCACTGAGTGTAGACATTCCAAATGGCCCATCATATGTAGGTTAAATTTCAGAGCATATATAACATTAGAATAAAAATTTTTATGAAAAAAGCAAATAGTCTAATTTCTCAAATTAGACCTTTTTCTCATTAAGCCTGGAATCACTGACTTGGTAATTTGGTTCTAATTTTGGATAACTGTTGCTATGGTTTAAATGTTTCCTTTGTAACTCGCGTTGAAACTTGATCCCTAATATGGCAATATTGAAAGATAAGGCCATTAAGAAGTGATTAGGTCTTGCCTTTTTAGACATTTGTGTGTTAAAATAAAAAAACAAGTGACTGGGTCATGAGGGATCTGCCCTCATGAGTGGATTAATTTATTTGTGGATTAATGGGTTATCATGGGAGTGGCGCTGGTGGCTTTCTGGGAAGACAAAGAGAGACTTGAGCTATCAGGCTTAACCTCCTCGCTGTGGGATGCCCTGTGCTGCCTCAGAACTCTGCAGAGTCCCCACCAGCAAGAAGGCCCTTGCCCGATGTGGCCTCTTGACCTTGGCTTGTCTGCCTCCATAACTGTAAGACATGAGTATCTTTTCTTTATAAATTACCCAGTTTTAGGTATTCTTTTATAAGCAACAGAAAATGGACTAAGACCACGATATGTTGGAACAATAAAGTTTTCTTAGTGGATAGCTTGTGATTTAACTGCAGAATCAAGTTACTGCTTAGTGAATGTTAACTGTGAGGCGAACTGTTGTAAAATTCATGTGCTTTTCATCTTATAGGCTCAGGTAACAGGGTCTACACTGAATGGTAGGAAGGAAAAAATTCAGGCTGAGGAAGGTGATAAGGAAAAATGGGATTTCCTGCAGTTTGCTGAAGCTTGGACTCCAAATGAAAGTTCTGAAGAGCTAACAACAGAAGCTTTGTTCACGCATGTAAGATTATGTAATTGCTCTTTTCATTTTTTTTTTTTTTACTATTCTAAAATTTTATCAAATAGTTTTAGATAGCAGCTCTCAATTACTTATGCTATTAAAGGAGACTTTTCATAAAGCTGGAAACTTCTTAGAACCAAACTTAACATTGATACAAAGAGGCTACTACAATAACTTGTATTTTCCATCAGTTTCAGCTCTCATTTTTTAACTTAGATAAATAAGCTGAATAGAATCTAACCTTCAGAAGAAAATATAGAAGGCTATCTTTATTACCCTGTGGATAGGGAAGGGCATATTAAATTTGCCTAAAAATGCACAAATAATAATAAAGAAAAAGATTAAGACATTTGACTATATAAAAATCAAAAACTTTTGTCATATAAAATGCATCATAAATAAGTATCGAATTCAGTAAAGATATTTGCATTTCAGTGTCCAAAGTATATAAAGAATTTATATAACTCAATCAGTAAAGTGCAAACAAGTCAACAGAAAAATAGGCAAAGAATATGAACATCAGAAGAGACCTGAATAGCCAATAAATATGAAATGAAACTCTGCCTCACTAAAATAAGCAAATTGTAAGGATACTTTTTCCCTTTTACAATTAATAAGTAATCTGTGGTAATACTTCCAGATCATGTGACCAACCGGTTCCCAAAACCTTTCACTCAGTGGTTTTAGCATTCATTGATGACCTTTGCCTGAGTCAACTTTGAAATAGTAGTTTTTCTAACTCCATTATTGCTTCTATATTTACTAGCTGGTATTTTTCTGTAAAGAAGAAATTTACTTCCCCCCTTTAAAAAATGTCACTATGGGCCAGGCATGGTGCCTCTCGCCTATAATCCTAGCACCTTGAGAGGCAGAGATAGGAGGAATACTTGAACCCAGGAGTTTGAGACCAGCCTGCACGAGACCTCATCTCTAAAAGAGTCAAAATTCTCTACACGCACCTGTAGACCCAACTGCTCAGGAGGCTGAGGTGCAAGAATTATCTGAGCCCAACAGATTGCAGTGAATTGTGATCATGCTACTGCACTCCATCCTGGGTGATGGAGTGAGACCTTGACTAAAAAAATATATGTAACTAAAATAAAAAATAAGTAACTGTAAATTTGGGGATTTTAAAAATTATTATTATTATTTAATGAGTTTTAATAAAGGATTATGATCTTTTTTAGGCTTAAACCTGGCTAGTGAAAACTACTTTAAACTGGCTCTAAAAAAAAAAAAAAAAAACATAATTATCTAAATGCTTCCATGCTTTCTGACAAACAACATATTGCAGGTTTACCTAGAGTTTTCTTTGCCCCAGACCTAGAACTGACCATTTCTTTAAGGAGAACTAGTTCCCTTTATTGTAAAATGATACTTAGACATTAGGATTTTTTTAATTGCTCTGGGCTATCATTGCATCTATGCTCTTTTCAGTATATAGCCCAAATGTCTATCAGTAGAAGGATGAATCCATAAATTGTCATATTATAAGCTACTATTTGGAAGTTAACATGAATGAATTAGATTTATATGTATTCACATGACCAGATTTTGAAAACATAATGTTGCTTTATAAATGCATAATGTACCTATGCACAAACACACACACCCATATGCATACAAGTTTATTCTATTTTTATGAGTACATATATATGTAATAAAACATATAAATGCAAACTGGAAAAATATATATTTAAATTTATAAAAATGTATTACCTCTGGGAAAAGAAATGAGTCTGGGACAAAGTAAAAATGTGACAGCAACTTCAGCAATAATGTTTTATTACTTTTATTTTGAAATTATGAGATTTTATATGACAAATAATTACAATGTTGATATTTGTAAATTTTGAATGGTGGGTATATGGATGTTATGTGTTCACTATACAGTACTGTATCTTAATTCTACCCAGTCTCACCTTCAACAAATGCTATTTGGAGGCTACATATAAACAAAAAATAATATATTAGAGAAGTTTATAATTCATATTATCTGCTCCTTCCTAGGCTTTTGAGGCATTATGGGTGAGAGTTACAGAGAGTTTAATTTTAATTTTCCAAATAACTAAAAGGAAATTATAGGAATAAAATCAAAGTCTTTTCCCCATAATACAAAATTAAGATTTTCATGTAAAACTTAATTCCATAAAAATCCATTATTTTATGTGGAATCATATTACATTTTTAATTATCTTATTTGTAGTTCTAGTACATTTTTTTCCTAGAATACTAGAATGCCATTCTTTAAAATACTGCTAAAAATTAGATAATTTCTAGGATTTTTTTAAATTAAAAAATTAACTGGGGTCGGTGGCTCAGCCTGTAATCCTGTGCCTTGGGAGGCCGAGGTGAGTGAATTGCCTGAGCCCATGAGTTCAAGACCCGCCTGGGCAACTTGGTGAGCCCTCATATCTACAATAAATCAAAAAAATTAGCTGGGTGTGGTAGCACGCGCCTGTAGTTCCAGCTACTTGGAAGGCTGAGGTGGAAGGATCACCGGAGCCCAGCAGGTCAAGGCTGCAGTGCCGGGAGCATGCCACTGCACTCCAGTCCGGGCAACAGAGTGAGACTCCAACTCAAAAAAAAAAATTTTTTTAAATTGGCTTCTTTTTAACAATGTTTATGAAATTATATTTTGGGAAACAAAAAAATCAAGAGAATGCCTAGTTATTTTTAAAACTATGATTTGTGGATGTTCTTGTTCTAAAATTTCCTATCAAACTATGTTTAAGAGTTCATTTCTTTTTTTTTTTTCTTTTGAGTTGGAGTATCACTCTGTTGCCCAGACTGGAGTGCAGTGGCACGCTCCCGGCCACCGCAGCCTCGACCTGCTGGGCTCAGGCAATCCTTCTGCCTCAGCCTTCCAGGTAGCTAGAACTACAGGCATGTGCTACCACACCCAACTGGTTTTTGTTTTATTGTGGAGACGAGGTCTCCCCAAGTTGCCCGGGTGGGTCTTGAACCTGCAGGCTCAGGCAATCCACTCGCCTCGGCCTCCCAAAGCGCTGGGATTATGAACTGAGCCACCGAGCCCGGCCAAGAGTTCATTTCTAAGATAGATGTTAACACTTTTAAAATATATCCTTCCACATGTGTACAAGTTTATTTGTAAAAGTTTGTATGGGGAAAAATATATACCTGTGTACAAGTATAAAAAAAAAATCATCCATACCAAATCTTACTCTCTTGAGTTAGTTGTGTGTCTTTTGTGTTTTACTGTTATCCTGCGGATTTTCCAGTGTGTGTCTTCATACACACATAGTTTGATATAAATTAGAATCTTGTAATATAGGAATCCTTTGTTTTAATTTGTTTTGCTTTGTTGGTATTTGTTTGCTTGTTGTTTGACCAGCATGGGAAATGTGTTTTGACGGACTGTAAGTGGGCATGACCTCTCACCACTCTTATCTACAGCCTCATGCATTTTTTAAAATGTTCAATTCATTGAAAGGTCCTAAGGAAATTTAGACTACTGATAAACATATTTTTCTTCTAAATGTTGCCAGAATTTTAGCATTTCCAATGGGAATTTTTCTATTTATACTAATATCTTTCTGGTCCTTTAAAAAAGTCTATTAAAAAACATTTCCAACATTTAACATTTTTAGGATACTTTCAATTTTGTCAATTAAACTTTGCCAGATTAACCAAACTTGCCATTTTTTAAATCAAAATCTGTTTAAGTAAAATGTTTGTAGCAGTTATAATTGATTGATTTTTAACAGCTTGTGGCTATTTCTGTAGTGTCAGCATTTTAAGGAATGTTCGTTTCATCTCTGTCCCAGTTCCCTGCTGCTGCAGCTGGAGGGAGCTGGACCAAGGAAGAGAGGTACCTGCCACTGTGGGAAGAACAGATTGCATATGTTAGTCAGCACATAACTCAGCCCAGCCTGTCAACCCCAGAGGAGGGGAGACTGACAGACGCAGAGGAGGAGACCACTAGCAGAGAGTGAGCCTGGAGGGCAAGAGACGATAGACTAAGGGCAGGAAGAGTTAGCACCCTGTTTCCTCCTACCATAGTCTTCTTAACCCTGCCAATCTATCACATTCAAAATGCTGTGGCCCCATAAGTGATTTTTAGAAAACCAGTGAATTTGTTAAATTTGGCACATTGATCTTCAGTGAACTGGATTTCAGAGGAATTGACTGGCATATTGGTTACTGGCAGATACTTCACTTGGTCAAATTGTCAAATTTGGCAGTTTGTCAAATTGGTTTTCTGTGAATTGACCTAAAGTCTAAGATTAGTGTGATATGGTTTCTGGTAATGAGAAGACCTGTGGTTAGGAAGAAGAGAAATAGAATGAGAAAATATTTTCCTAGATAAAAGTTTTATTAGTTTTGGGATCTCCTGTCTTCTTTCTCCCCTGGTGCTCATTGCCATTCACAATAATATTGTCTTTTCTTCTTTCCTCTCTTAATAAAAATTCTCTGTCTGCTGTACAGCTCAGCTATTAGGATTTTTTAAAAATACGTGGAGCCAGGGATGGTTCTCCACCAGTGTACACCAGTACAATTGTACTAATTGTTAAAATATCAAAGTATTGGGAATGGTTGGCAAATAACCATTCTTCAGTTCTCATTATGCTCCCTCCATGATCCAGCAGCACATGGACTCTGCCTCAATATCTAGGACTCTGTTTCAATCCATCATGTGCTCCTGCTATACTTGTGCTTAAATAATGCCCTACATGAAACTAATCCACACAAAAGTTTGAATCACAATTCTTTACCCATCCTAGATATATTTACATGTTTAAAATAAATTATGGCGCGGTGGCTTAAGCCTGTAATTCCATTTGGGAGGCCAAGGCAAGAGGATTGCCGTAGCTCATGGGTTTGAGACCAGCCTGGGCAACATGGTGAGAACTCATCTCTAAAATAAATTAAAAAATTAGCCAGGCATGGTAGTGCGCGCTGTAGTCCAAGCTACTTGGAAGGTTGAGGCGAAAGGATCACCAGAGCCCAGCGGGTCGATACTGGGGTGGCCATGAGTG